AATATATACCAAACACGGTCACACGGAGTATGCTTATATATATTTTATGTACAACAATTAAAAGCATTTTAATATAATATTATATTAGTCACTATAATATTTTCAATAGTCAATGAAAATGTTATCTATACTATATATATATTAATTTTTTTATGAAAAACGAGTCTTTAAACAACCCCATTGTTATTATTTGTATAATAGGTACAATTAATCGTATTGTGTTTCCTAGGATGAAATAAGTACAAGTTACAAAGAAATATTATAAAATAAAGAGAAAAAAGCATCTAACTGTGAAATTTTTAAATCATTCATTTTATTGCCTTATTTATTGTACATTTATTATCCCTTCTTTAAAACTGTCTTCTGGCGTTTTTCTTTGTTTATGTATTATTCAAATATAAAAATCCTGCCAAAAAAAATGTATATATGTGTTATGTCACGGTAACAATTTAAACAAATAGACGAGGTATTTTGGCGATATCGCAGAAAGGTCACATATTATGTATGTGTGTGTATATGTTTTATTGTAATAGACGTGTATGGTTTTTTTTAACGTTATTCATTTTATTATTTCTCCCCTTTCCATCAAAAATAGGCACACCATATCTGAACATAAGTGAATTAATAGTGACAAGGTATAACATGATTGGTTGCCATCACGAGAATCCAAGTGAGGTCATGCAAACATAGGATTTCAAAACGATTTCTCCTTTCCCTCGTTTGTTTGCCAACTTACTGCATTTAAAACGATACTGTGTTTACTATGTTTTATGCACAAATTACCCTTCAAAAATATAATTATTCAAACGAACTTAAACAAAATCTGTTCTAAAATTTCATTTAAAACGCTAAAAAAAAATTTTAAATGTATTTACAAAAATAAAAGATAACAATAATTTAAAAAAAAGAAACAATCACAAAGATAGGCATTTTAAATCGTGCTAGATAATTGATAAAAATTGGTGATATAAGTGTAAACTAGCTATTAGGTAATTGTCTAAATCAGAACATTTAAGTCACTTTAAAGTAATGGCTTTTGTATAAAACGATCTTTACAAGTATATGTGAATACATTTTAAAAAACGTATATGTGAAATAAGTTCCAGTGCCTACCAATGTATCATCAATATATCATCACAAAGATTTCCTTTTAAAGAATCAATTTATGAATGATTTTTTTCTTATATAATCTGCATTATTATTACAACTAATTTGTTTCACATACGATACTTCAGAATTTAATATTTGGTATATTTATAAATTTTTAATTCATCTAAAATAGTAATCATGATATTAACGTTTTGCTCTTATTAATATAACAAGTACTTGTTTTTCACTTCATAAATTTTCTTTGCGTGTTATAATATCATTTAGAGTTAAAAGACGCAACTAGTGGTTTTCACCTGTCAGTATACATTGTTAATACAACTGCTTTAACTCTTTATATGGAACCAATATGGTACCACAACCGGCACAAGCACTTATATATTTTAATAAACTATTGGAAAAATGACGAACTCTATATATATACATACTGTATAACACTGTATGATACTGGTATACCCTAAAAGTTTATAAAACCAGTGACTACTTGATAGTTTTTGAAGAGTGACATACATTTTTTACTAACAGAGATAATTAATTTTCTAGTATAATCTAAAATATATCTTGTTCTCGAGTCCTGATAATATAACATTTGAAATTTTAAGAAACGTACATTATACAACAAATGAATCAGAAAAGTTAAAATTTTTTAAATTCTAAAACCAAAAAATGTGTTAAATAAAGTAGTTTAAAATATATTTTAATACATATCTACATATTATATGTATCCGTAAATTATTATTTAAATTTATTTTATTTTTTATTTATTTCTTAATAGGTACTTGCAATTGTACAATATAAGAATTTGTATACATTTTTAAACTTATTTATAAGTATGTGCTATATAAATTTTTGTTTAAAAAAAATCAAATATTTTATACAAAACCTTATAATCCGCTCCAAAGAATTAAAATAATGTTTATACTTTATAGTGCTCTAGGTTACATCTTTTTAAACTTACTTATTTACATATTACATATACACATAACTGTAATATTATTTTATTATAATATAATACCAAACAGTTTTCAGTAAATTAAACTAAAATAAACTTTTGTGCAGTAACATTAAATACAATTATTTTATACTAAAAAAGTAGAGTACAACAGTGCATTAATATTATATGATTTTATAAACACAACTGTTCTAGAATATAAGCATACAAACATGAAACGATATGATATGGTTATTTATGTATATTTATATGATAGGACAAGTAAAAAACTCTTTTATATAATATAGTATATAGGATATACTACTATAGCCATATAGTATAAACCAACTAGTAATCATAATATAAAATAGTCACTAAACTCTAAAACTATGAATTATAACTGTGTTTTTTATTCATTTACAAGGTATTAAATAATAAAAATTAAATTAATAAATTTTATTGATATAATATTATATTATATACTATATCATCAGTTATTCAAAATTAATTCATTTTTGTATTTTCTAAATACGACAGATGAAACACAAACAAATAGTGATTACAAAAACGCAAAACTAAATATTATATAAAACTTTAGTACCTATATAATATGGAAATAATTTTATACTAACGGTGTTTTCCAGTTTATTTTGATCTTAAAATATGTGTTATAAAAAAAGAAAATTAATTGGTCTTTTATTTTTATTACTGTTGTTTTTTTTACTTTTGTTTACGTTAACATAAATCGAATCTGGTAATTTGTGTTAATCTATAAAATAATATTATTATCGTGTATAATGTATACGAAGTATACGAATTGGAATAAATAAAGACTAGGTGTCATAAATGTTATAACAATATTAACATTCAATCTGATTGTGTTAATAGGGAATCACAAAACAAAATATTCACAAGCTCAAATTATCCTAAAACTTCATATTTGAAAACTATATAATATAAGTAGGTACTTAGTTAAAAAATTACACTTGTCAATCTATAAACAATAATGTATTGTTTTTATATTATAAATATAGTATATAATATTAATAATATTGTGTATGATATTAAAAAAATTAGGTAGATAATTAAAAATATATTGCTGTTAGACGTTAGACCATTTTAATTGTTGGCATATATAATTTTACATTTTAGTGTATTTAAAATTATTAGTCAATTATTTCTGATCAATCAAAATTGTACAGCATTTCGTTGCAATCAGTAACAACATGGTCAGGTGTTATAAAAATCTCATTGTTGCTATATACGTATGTACATTCATTATAAAAATCGTCAACCACGTGGCTAAAATTTGATAGCTTTAAAGTTTGGTTACTGTGATAACGTGTCGAAAAATCACGATTTAAACCACAAGGCACAAATTATAACAATTTTATTTAAACGAATATATTATAAAATTCATAATAATAATAATAATAATATAGATAAATATGGGGAATATACTTAAAAAAAATACTCATATTTTAGATAGGTAAAAACTATCATAATATTGTTCTTTAATATTATGCCTAAAACATTCATCTACTCGTCGGGAAAACGTGGTATACTGGTATAAACCACTAAAACCAGCTCTTTGATCTAATAAACATTCTTTAACTACATTTAATTTTCCTCTGTGGAGAACAAATATCATTTTAAAGAGACATTGTAAAGTAGCTTAAATGTGTGGTAGTTCAATTTCCATTTATAAACAAAATTAAATCAGACTTTTAAATCACGCAACATTGACTGTTAGTCATATTTTTCGTATGTTTTGAATAGTATTATATGAATTCCCAGTTAGTAGATATATGAGTAACCCAACTGGAGACTAAATATATACAATTTAACAGAATATTTTTGGAAAATACTAAATATGCATAGTTAATTTTATACCAAAATTACAAATGTATAAATTGTATGCACTTACTTGTGGTAAGAAGACAAAAAAAAATCATCAGGTTCCAGACTGTGTTATTGACCTGCAGCGTTTCCATTTCCAGTAAATGATCAGCGATTGCATCGAGAAAAAACTGATACTGCTGAAAAATATAAATATACTTATTAAATACACATTATAAACCCAATTGTATACTGAAAATAAATGAATTCATCGTATAGGTAGGTACCTACTATTGAATGTAAAAATGCATTATAAACAAACTTCTTGATTACACAAAAAAAAATGATTTTTATCTTTTATGGGTAATAATTTATGAACCTTATATTAATGTATTGAAACATCTTTAAATAGTTCAATTTTCATTTTGCTGAAGTAAGCTATATAATGTTCACCCTTCAAGCCATTATATTTGCACCTTTTAAATAAATTCTAATAAAAGCTTTAAAACTATTAAGAAACATTAAATTTTTATTTTATTAATTATTGTAATTTGTATTCGTAATAACGATTTTTTCCTCTATAATCATAGATATATACTTACAGAACATTTTCTTTCAAGATGTCTAAAACAACAATTATTAATTAATAAATAACGTCTAAACTGACATTACCAAAATGGTAAACAATTATAAATTATAAATGTATACATGATTAATGGTGGCTAGTAGCAACTTTATTTACCTCGTAGAATATTTAATGAATCGAATTTCAATTAAAATGTACCTACTATTAAGACAATGATACCTCAAAGGTTTCTGGATGACTGAATGAACATAATAT